ACATACGTCTTCCTGATAGAAACATTGGCCCTCTATATAGTACATCACACTGCTTTCTACATAATAATTATGTCTATAGCCATATTCTTTTCAGACACAGAAGTATAAGCTCATAAGTATACATGAATATATATATATATGTATGTATGCATGTGAATATGTATAGTACATTCCTATATTCTGTAGCTCCCTTTGCTTATGAGTCCGCATACTTGGAGTAAGTACTGTTTCTACTTGAATCCAGAGCTTCAAATAACTATGAAGTCTTTGAAATTATTTGACACTAAGTAAATAAGCAGAACAAAGAGAGGTGTGGCTGTTAAAGTTAGAAAAAAGTGACTATGAAAACAGTTAAAACAAAATACTATCATATGACACAAAACAATGCTGAATAGCTTGTGACACAAAATACTATCATATGACACAAAATAATGCTGAAAAGCTTCAATACCACTCAGTTTTTAGAGGTATCACTGGTTTGGGAGGTGATTTGGAGAAATTTAAAAATTTAATAAATTTGCTTGCTGTCCAATACAATGTGCAAATCATTCATTAACTGTAACAAATAAAAAGGTGCCACTAATAATGTAATAACTTTCTGTTTTAAATAAGGTTTCATTTGAAGCACTGAAAATGCTGTGCAAATAAATATCTTAAACAGAGCCTCACCTATGAGACAATTACAAGAATAAGCTTGATTTGACCCATGGGAATAGAACAATATGTAGGAGCTACTGTTAACTCTCTTTCAAAGTCATACCGTGTGCATGTGGCAAAGCTAAAAATGGCACAAAATTCCTGTCTCCTTGCCAGTTATGCTGTGCCATATGAATCTTATAATATAGACCCTCTTGAATAATCATACTTTTAAAAATTCAGATGGATCTCCATCTATGCTTGTAAACAAATCAACAAAACCTCAAACATTTCAAATTAAAAACATTGACTAGCATTTTCTACCATATTGAATGGAGCCACTTTTCAAGCTTTAGCATATAGAGAAAAAGGCTTTCTACTTTGAAACATTAGTAATAACATTTGCTTTAGTCTTGGAACTATTTACTGGTTGACTAAAAGAATCTTGCCATTTGTGTGAAGACAGGTTAAACTATCACAATTTTCTTAAGTCCAGAAGCTGTCCAAGTATGGCACCTTCTCTTGTGGAGGGAGAAGGAAGTGCCAGCATATTTCTCACTAGACCCCTTATTTTCCCAAAACCAGTTCCTTGACTGAAGATATATAATCTTAGGAGATTTCTATGGAGTCTGTAGAATTACATAAAGAATAATAACTAGGAGTTTAGGATCAACAGCTCCTTTTCCCCTGGGGTTAAGGCAGGATAGTGGTGATGGTAGTAGTGATGGTAAAGAGGTCTAGACATGGTTTTATTGGTGTGGGAACATCCCAAATTGTTTCCATCCTTCTCTGTGTCTTAAAGAGTTGATGGGATTGAGAAATAAAGTAACTTGGCCCCTGTGTGACACAGGTATGTGTCAGAAGTATGACCCGAGCTCAAGTCTTCCTGGTGAGTTCCCTTATCTACTATGCCACATGCTGCCTTCTACTTTTCCAAAACAATCTTTAAAACTCAAATTTCCCCTGACTGTGCCTGTAAGGTTTTGATGTAATATCATTAGAATCTTTGAAAGAAACAATTTAAACATCACCCTGCCTGCCTTGCCCTTGGGACCTGGAAGAGATCTTAGCAATTATCTTGCCCAACTCACTTTAAGGATAAGCTCAAAGACTCTCAAGGTCATACTAGGTTGGTAGTAGAGCCAGGGCTAGAACCCAGGTCTCCAAACTACCAGTCTAGGCTATTTCCTACTATACCACAAGAAACATTGGATTGATATATAAGAAAATACACAGAATAAAACAATCCAAAAACCTAATTAGCTTGCAATTGTTTTTTGAAAGTATGTTTTGTTTTATTTTAATATTGCTACATCAAAAAATCAGAACATCGACATCCTCAGGACTAAGCATGCTAAATGTGATTTCAAGGCCTGGTCTGGTTTAAAAAAAAATTCACACAGGACAAGTAAGCAGCAACATGTTACAACTGTTGTTAAACTTCCATTTTGGAATCAGTCTTAATGATAAGCAGTTTGGAAAACTTCAAAAGGAGGACAAAAATAGGTGACCCCAGTGGGGAAACAGTTAATTGCACAGCACTGCCTCAATAACCCCTTATCGTTGTAAATATAATTCAGGCAAAGCCTTTCTTAAAGCAATACAAAATGTCACCACAGGCTGACGCTCTTTCTACAAGAATAATGAGACTTTCTACCTTGAATGCAGAACACATACTCCTTAGCCTTTATATTCACTTCAGTCTTGGTGATTAATATCCTCTACCCCAAAAGGTACATAGTAACATCCCATGGCAAAAGTATGTTCCTAGAGAGTCTTATAGGTACTAAAAGTCGTAACACGCTAGAGTGCTAAATAAAAGAAAGGGAAAAGAAAAGAGAGTAGAGCAGTTTCACAAACTGGAGTTTTTTTGTTCTTCCAATCTGACCAAGCACAATATATTAAAAAAAAAAAAAGCTCTGGAAAGGAAATAGAAAAGAAAAAAGGAGGTGGGGTGAGAGGAGAGAGATATAACTTGCCCGGTCCATTATGCCAGGCTTTTATACTGCATTCCCACAGGGGTCAGTTTTACAAAGGGGTCTGAAGAAAGTACATTTAGCTACTATGAGACTTTTAGTTGCTGCGGTTGACACTGCCCTTTTCAAAGCACACACACACTCCTCACACCTCCATCCTCGATATTGAAAGGGGGTCTACTCCCACATAGGAGAGTTCAGTAGTCAGGCTTCTCGGTTTTCAGGTCTGCAATATCCGACCCACTATTCAGCCTAGAGAGGAAGCCTGGCATCAGGCAGTGCGTGTGTGTGCTCCTGTTACTATGTGACAGTGTGTGTATTATACACTCTCCCAGCACTGTTCACGCGTTCGTGCTGTACATTTACTACTGGCAACACAATCCTTCGGGGCTAAAATAAATAGCGCTGCAATGACTACTGCACAGCTGGGGGGGGCGGGACGTTTTAGAGGCAGAACCACTCCCTGCTTAGCTGTTCAATGTGCAGAAAAACCTGACCGGGGACGTGTCCAAGACAAAATAATAACAGCAGCCGCAACGAAAGGAAAATTAGGGGGAGCAGCAAGAAGGGAGGTAATCAATTAAGATTATCCCATAAAAGTCATGAAATGGTTAAACTGGAAAAATTTACATGCTCTTTTTTTGGTTTGCATTTCATAGGCTTCATCTCTCTCTCACGCCACTGCCCCCCTTTCCCTCCTCCCTTGCTTTCTTTATCCAGCTCACTTCCCTTTTGGTCACTGGGATTGTGGAAAAGTGAAGAGATCTAAAATCTTCCACAGTCTTTGACCCTGCTCTCTTCCTTAATCTCCCCTCCATTCATCTCCCTCTCTTCAGCTCACCCAATCCCCTCCACACACACTTAAAGCCCCCTCAAACTCTTGGCTTCTCTTTCCTCCTAAAAGATAAAGATTTGTTGCAGGGGCTGTCTTTAGCCTGCCTCAGGACTGCAGGTGAGGTCATTACCTCAACCAGAAAAGCAACTTAAAAAAAAAAGAGGGGAGAGGCAAACTCCCACCCTTCTTCTCTTCCGCCCCCCAAAACATTCAAATCTCTCTCTGTCTCTGTCTCTCTCTGTCTCTCTCACACACACACTCACACTCACTAACCAGCACAAACAGTTCTCTCTTTTCCTTTTGCCTGGGAGCAGTTTGGAGGTTCTAAAACCCGTTTGATGGCTTTGCCTAGCAAAGAATTGAAGAGCTCTGAATTATGTTGAGAGTTACAAAAAGAAAAGTGGGCATTCTTTTTATGATCGAAAACAGGGAGAAATAATCAACAGAAAACACCCGGCCAACTATCAGAACCACATATGAAAATTTTAAATAAACGTTGGACACAGATATCTATTTTAAATCAAATCCAAGGGTGGGGGAGGAGGAAGCAAGCGAACTGCAACTGCCGCACTCTGAAGGAACAGTGACAGCCAAGTGGCTGCTATACCTCAGCCATAGTAGTCCGAAAGGACTTGAGCCAGACCTGAGGTAGAAAGTCAGGAAACGGTTTTTATGTGATATCTTAGTGGGGGGGGGAGAGTTCTGAATAGTCAAACACAATTCAGAACTGTTAGTTCACACAAACTGGAAGAACCACAAACCACCAATCCATCTACCTCTCACAAACCTAGGCATTAATAATGCCATTTCTGGTTGTGTTGTTTGTAACCATTTCCATTTTCCTCTGGTCACAAACACGCATCAACAGAGGGAAAACCATATTCAAGCAGCGAGCGTGGAAAAGGATGCAGTTTCTCTCTCTCTCTCTCTCTCTCTCTCTCTCTCTCTCTCTCTCTCTCTCTCTCTCTCTCTCTCCTCTTTCTCTTTCCCTCTCTCTCTCCCTCTCCCTCTTTCATCAATTTTTTCTGATCTCCAATCTATTCTGCCATGGGGAAGTTACTAGGGGGACTCATCAAGAAAAAAAAGTAGCGTGCGATTATTTCCTGCCATATCTAAATGATATAAAAACTGCATGGAAGGCAATGACGTGGACTTGGACACTACAGAAGACACTCAGAGAGTATATGAGGGAAGAAAAAATTCGCCACTAAACGTAGTGATCTGAAGGGGGGAGGGATAAAGAGGTCTTCTTCCCACGATCACTCCCACACCCCCAGTTTTATATAAAGTTACTTGAGATTCAAAGAGTGCACCTGCTCGTCACCCAAACTTGAACAACCCAGCAAAGCCTGAACAGGCGGCACCGAGTGACAGGTCCCAGCTCCAAAAAGAACACTCTCCTCTCCCCTCACAACCAGTTCCCTCCCTCCTCTAAATGCCTTTGCGCATAGCCCCTGGCATATTGGCGGAGGAGGTCCCAGAAAACGATCCCCCTCTTTCCCCGCTTTCTTCACCCTGGCATTCTGAGTGGCCACGTTTCCGCAGCTGCTCACCTGGCCTAAGGACGGCGGCAGAGATCAGGAGGCTTACGACCAGTCGACAGGAGTGGGCTGCTGTCGGTGCCATATTCCTCCTCCTCCTCCTCTTCCTCCTCCTCCTCTTCTGTGTGCAAGAACACAGTCCACTTCACAGGAGGGGGGCGTCGTTCTCCAGTCCCCTCGGTAATAGTACCACTTGGAGGTTAGGAATGGGAAAGGGGGAATGGGGGGCAGCAGCTTTACACAGACACACCGCCCCCCCAGGATCTGGGGCTGCACCTTGTCCTCTTCCTCGAACGCAACTTTCCAACAGCCAGTGCCACCAACTCCCCCCTCCCCCACAAAACCCCCAAAGCAGCTCCCCTCCTTGCTGGTGAACCACGAGAGCTTTTCCCCCGTAGAGACAATTGAGTAATTTTGCAATTTGCAGGTGGTCCTTATTTTCTTTAATTTCTTTCTCTTGCAATAATAATAATCGCAATTAAAAAAAAGCTCAGGTGCTATGAACAAAATCACTGGAGAAAGATGATAAGAAGCAGCGTGTCTTGCAGTTCTCCTCAGGTGGCAGCGGTAGTGGCAGAGGCAGTAGTGGTTGTGGCAGTGGCAGCGGCGGCGGTAGCGGCGGCAGCAGTAGCAGCCGCAGCTGCGATGGAAGAGAACTAGGCTCTGAGTGGTAGTGACTGGAAGGCGTGTGTAAGCTTCTCCTTCCCTCTCTCCTCCTTCCTCCCCACCCTCTCCCCCCCCGCAACGTCTCTCTCCTACCCCTCCCCGCTAAACAGAGCAGGTGGTTGAAGCGTCGACTGGCAGCCTAGGGGCGCTGCAGGACCGAGCCTTGCGAGCCAGGCAATGGGAAGGCGCAAGGAGGATGGGGAGTGCGAAGCGCGCGCCGGGGATACTGGAGTAGGCAGGTCTCCACCCCGGGAGTCCCGCCCCCTCGGGAACGCGCACCGCCAATGGGAGACTAGGAAAGGATATCCCCGGGAGCATCGGCTCGGCTGGTACTCTGGCGGCTCCCGAGGGACTGCCACGTCCTGGTCTTGCTAGTATCACTCATGTGACATTATCTCTTTCTTGTTACCCACTTGGCTGAGAAAAGAACAAGTTCTCCACGTTTCTCACATACGCAAACATCACCCCGCGCCCTTACTTCCCGCACTTTGTTTCTCTGGTAGAATTTTGCATCTTTCTTTTAGGGAGGTTGTCCCGGGGCTGGGACGAGATGCCTAGGGTAGAGGTGGGGGAGGGAAAAGACTGGGATCTAGCTTGGTAGGTCTGAGCAAAACAAAATTGATTGAAAGAAAACGCGGTGAGTGAGCCTCTGGAGATGGAGATATGAATAGCTTTTGGTTGGTTGCAGCCGTAGGGACGAGTGGGGATTATTTGACGTTCAGGGCTTTTTTCCTTCTTTTTGAAGTCAAAGCTCTTGAGTAACCAGTGTGGACTAGACGCTAACGATATTTGCTTATTTGTTCTCAATACCATTCCCCCCCCCCCCGCCCCTCGATTTGAGCAAGACAAACCGGATCTTCCAGAGCAGTTATTTTCATAAAACTTTTCTTCTTTAAAAATGATGAAAAAAAGATCAGGGACCCATCATTTTAAATTAAGCGGGAAATGAATAAGAAAAAAAAAAGAAAAGCTTAAAGTTATGGAAAATGAAGGTCTAAAGCTTTCCAGTCTCCGAAAACACGAGCGTCTGAAGAGACCTAAAAGCTTCTCAGACAATTTCTGGTGACAGGACGGGCTCCCAGCAAGACATCGGAAGCTTTGCGGAATTCAGACAGAGGCATACGAGAGGAGCTGCTGTTAGTTAATTCTACGTGGGTTTAAGAATTCGAGTTCTCTATTCTTTTAACCGATGTATAGCAAAATCTCTTTTCTGCATCAGCACACCTCAGCATTAAATAGCCTTTCTGAAACATAGGTTCATGCCTACATGGAGCTGATTTCCAATAGGGAATGTCATCTAGCAATGACCACGTAGTATAGTAGCCTTTTGCCAGAAGGAGGAGAATGATGTATTAAAGAACCTCACCCCACCTCACACCCCCCGAAAAAAAAAACAACAAATGACCCTAGACCTTTATATTCTAACATACCAGAAGCCTAGGAAAATTCATTCAGCTTTGTTTTATGTTGGTGACAAAACAGAATAGAACAAAACATCTATTTTCCTCTTTTTTCTTCACATTAACTTTGATTTTTTGTCTAGTTTGGTTAGGAAAGTATAATTTTTGAGAATTCTTGTTTATTTTCCTTTTCAAATTAAGCAGTCTCTTCCTAATATTTCAATGATCCTCAAGGCTACTGGGTACTTTCAGTTTTAAGCATATTTAAGCATATTAATTTCATAGGAAAAACAAGGATATTTCTTGAAGGAAAACAATTCTGAACTCACATTTATAGGGTGAATTTTACTCAACTGCTGGACTTTGGATTTCTTCAAGGAAGTCTTTTTCCCGAAGTAAGGGAGGATCAAGAATTATGCTAAGACAAGGGTATAAATCAAGGTCATCTAAACACCTGAATAACCTGAACTTAAGGCCCTATTGCATGCCTCTTTGATATTAGGGTTTTCTTTTAAAGTTTATCTTAGTTTGCATGTGTGTTTGTGTGAGGCCACTGTGCCCACAGCATAAATGTCCAACCCAAACTTGGGTTATATTCAGAATTGATCTTAAACTGTCATCTTCATTCATGAATATCTATATGTATATATTTATAAACATGTGTGTATAGATATAGCAATATAGATAATACATATATGTGTACACACATGTGTATATATACATTATATTCTAAGGATTTAAAGTAAATTTATTTTCATTATGCTCAAAATCATTTTTAAGAAAGACTTCTATATTTAAAATACACACATAGATTTATGTTGAATATAAACACAAATAATATGTATATGTGTGTTGTATATGTGTATTGTATGCTATATATGCTATATATTCAAAGCCCTTAGTATTCACTTTTCAGAGCAATAATCAAGACAAACCAAAAGCACTTGGATTAAGACTATGGCAGAGATTGGAAAGAAGAGCAAGAGACAGGTTTGATATTCTGTAAAATAGAATTTATTGATACATTTTGCAGAATTAACAACAGATGTGTACTGGCCATATTCATAAATAGACAGGTGTTAGTTTCACATGTGAATCCCAAAGCCCTTTGGGAAATTATTCCACAATTATTACAGGAATAACTATCTTGGTTCAAGGATCATAGATCATAAATTTGGGCCTGAAAAGTTCCTTAGAGATTATCAAGATCAAGCTACTCATTTTTCAGATGAGGAAATGAAATACAGAGGGGTTAAGTAATTAGTTCAACATCACATAGCTGGCAAATTACAGAGACAGGATGAGAATTCTGGTCCTCTAAATCTAGATCCAATATTCTTTTTTTTTTAACGGTAGTACAACATATAGCTATTTTAATTTCCTGAATGATATGTAATTGAAGGGAGAATCATGGTGCAGTGGATAGAGAACCAAGAAGATAGCACCTTACTTCTGACACATATTTACTGTGTAATACTGGTTAATCACATAACCTCTCAATGCTAGGCAAGTCTCTAATATTATACTTTGAAAAGAATGTGCCAACCTGGATCAGTAGAGGGAGTTTTCTCATCTGGCAGCACCCTATATCAATGAAATCACAGGTCTAATTCCCATCACCTACATAAAGGAATTGTAAACTCTTTGAGGCTATTTTTTGAGACTTTTTGTGTCCATAGTGCATAGAGGCTCAAATATTTGTGGAATTGAATATTTTTCATGTTTGATTTCATATAATGGTAAAATCATAGTAATAGTATAATTCTGTAACTGAGGATGAAATAGATTTCCATCAACATCTTCAATAATGCTAGCTATCTAGTGAGCTACATCACTAAAGCTAAAACCTTCAGAACCTTGGAAGCCTCGGTATTTCCTTCAGACTGTAGGTCTGAACTACTGTAAGAACAACAACAAAAAAGAAAAACAGTAATACAAGTCTAACTAGAGACCACTCATTTGGTTTTCTCACACCTACATGAGAAATGAGGAAAGAGCCTTGCTAAGCTGTTTTACTATGGAGCCTACACTACATCTATAAAATTGATGTCAAAAATATTCAGTGTATCAAATAATAACCCACAAGTGATTACATTAGGTGCATAAAATTTAATCAAGAAGCATGATATATTCTGGGTTTTTCCTGCTATTTGGGAATTTCTTTTCAAAGGTCACTGTATATTTTCAACTTTAGGATGAAAGAAGCAGATCTTTTTGCACTGAATAAATAGAAAGTGACTCAGAGCAGGATTACTTAAATGTTTGATACCTTTAAAGAAATTTAAATTTGATTAAGCATTCTAGAGGTAATCCCCAGGGCTACCTCTATTTGTAATGACACTTCTACCTTCCATCTTGTGATTCACAAGTCTTTCAAGAAAAGGGGCTGACAAATTAAAGATCTGTAGAAACTGAGAAAAGAATGTATACTTTATCTTGTAACCCTACCTTGTAACACACATACAAATATAATTATTGTTTACTTATTTATTTATTGTGAAGAGGGAGGGAAGGGGAGGTCATCTGGACCTTTGATTTCATTGATATAAGGGATTATTGATATGGAAACTCTCTCCACCTATGCAAGCTAGTAACCCTCTGAAATTTTATATACATACATACATACATACTACATACATACATGCATATACATATACACACATATGTATATATGAAATTTATATTAAAAATTTTTGGCCTGTGTAGGACTTTTTTTTTTTAAATACATGGGCAGCTGGAATAGCCCAGACACATCAAGAGTCCTGTGGGAGGCGAGTGGTGGTACAGGTGGCTAGAGGCAGGTGGTTAATGGTATACTAGAACAGTCTGAGCACCAGCAGGGCCAGGTACTGGTAAAACATAAATGGACAGAGGTCCCCCACCATGTCCACCCTCACCCCTCCCCCAGCCCGGGGGAGACTTCTCTAATGCCCTAAAGCCCAAGAGGATGGAGTTGGTTGGAGACATACAACTGGGAGGGGTCAGCTGCTTAGACGTGGGCCAGGATCCCTTGATGCTGGGGGGGCGGTGCTGGGAGGAAGGTGTCCAGTCATTCGAAGCCTCTGGCTCAGGAGTGATCTCTTCACTTATTCTTCTGGGGTGAATCATGTCTGCCTTGGTTGCTTCCTGGGTCAAACTGGCTGCTGTGTCCAGGGTGTGTTCACTCAGGTCAGTCACCAGGCTGTCCATGGAAGCCTGGTACCTCAGGAAGATGGGTAGGATCAGGCAATGATACAGGATCTGGGAGCCATTATAGCCTGCTGGAAGCATGCACCATAGCAAGAAGGCACACTTCCCTGAATAGTATAAGGGGAACCAGAAAAGGAAGAGGTCAGAGAAAAACTCAGCCAGACCAAATATGCTGTATACCACCCAGTAGGTTAGCCAGATGGTATCATCTTTGTTGGTGCTTTCAATGGCCTTGATGGAAGCATATGCTGGGTAGATGAATCCGATGAGATTGCAGAGCAGGGACGCACCATATCCAAATATGAGATAGAAAGCCAGGAAGGCAGTGGAACCTGTAGCCAGGTAGTACTTTTTGATACTGGTGATCTCCTCCAGCTTCCCCAGGACATCAGTGATAATGTTTTTCTGCTCCAGGAATCTCTGGGAG